TCTATCTCTCTCTCTATCTCTATCTCTCTCTCTCTATCTCTATCTCTATCTCTATCTCTCTCTATCTCTCTATCTATCTATCTACCTTTCTTATTTAACTTTTTTGTGGTTCATTCACCATGTATACGTTTTAGCGATTGATCTTTCTGTCTGTTTGTCTGTTACACTTTGTCTATGACACCTTTTCTTACTGTTAAAGCAATGGAAATGCATGGAGAAGCTATGGGGGTGCTACTCGTCAACTAAAGACGATATTTCGTCAAAAACTATTTTATAATGCAAAACTATGTTAGCAAATAAGTTTTTAACTACGATATTATGATATCTCATGAACATGCGTAAACAAATTCAAATTATTAAATAAATCCGTGCCTTTACTAAAAGAAAAATCGCATACATGTAGCACGAAAATTATATATAGAAGATATGCAATGATTTCTTTAAAAAAACTTCCCAACACAATTTAATGCAAATTTGAGAAAATTTGACAATTCAAGATTTGAAAATGTGCTACCATAACGGGGATAATTTCAATAATCTATAATCTTAAATATAAAATAATTTTTAAAAAATTGTAATATTGATACGGTTTTATCCATTTCATTTTTTACTATAAAATAATTTAAAATTTAAATAAATAGTATAAAAATAACAGCAGCTGTTTTGACATAGAATATTATACGACAGTCATGTACAAGCTGCAACAGAAGAGTACTTCTCATAAAGATCCTTGACAGATTTATAATAATTATTGTTGTTATTGCAATGTCTTGTTAACGTTATTGCACATACGCATGATATATTTATCATTTATTTATTTAGTTTTTAGTCTTTATATGGTGTTACAGTTACAAAAGGCTGGTTTTACACGCACTACAACACCTGTACAAAAAACAACGCAGGTGAGATATTTTTTTATTTTTTTTTATTTTATTCTTTTCAATTTTGTAATTTCTTTTTAGTATATTTTTATATTGCATATGTAATGTTACTTAAATTAAAGATTATATTTTGTAATAACAAGTTGTATATACTGTAGTAATAAATTGCGTAAAAATGTAAATTGTAGAATAAAAATACTCTGATATGAAACAATTACATATTCGGATAGTTATACTTTTAATGTGTATTTATTTAATATTTATTAGCTGTATTTTCTTGTAATGTATTGTTGTGCTATCAAATATTAATATAAACATACTATTTATATACAAATAATATCATTAAAATTCACTAATGATAAAAGGTAGGTACATTTATATTGTATATATCAGCAAAAGTATCCTACAACATTGTTTTTATAAATCTTTCTTTTAAAGAAAGTACTGCATTGTTGAGATGTGTTATAAAAATATAATAGCAATCACACATTGTATACAGTTACATATCTATCAACTAATAAGATAATTGTATTTAAATAATTAAATAAAATGTATTGTTATAAATAATTCAGTGTGTAATTAAAAAACTGTGCCACAATAAATGATAATATAATAATGGCGTCTTTAGTTTTGTAATAAGTATTTGAAATATAAACTATTTCCATAGATTTAAGTTTAAATTATAAAATCAACATATTTGACAGTTCAAATGTTATAATTATGAATCATAGTATAAAATTAGAAAAAATTACTTAATAATTATTTCTAATACTGATTTTATGCATTAAGTAATTTATATGTAATAAAATACACATATACTAGAAAACTAGTAATAAAATGCATGTAATAAATAACTATATATATAGGTCTTAATAATTTGTCTAATTTACATGTAGTAACTAGAAACTGACATTTTAATATTAAAAATAATATAATAAAACAATGAATACGTATTTGAAAATATGTCATATTTAACGATAAAATTAATTTATCACCACTTTTTTTCCTTTTCACCCACAATATTTTATTTTATAATATATAGAAATATATATAATCTATAATTTTATAAATAGAGTAAAATTAATCAATTTTGATGATAAACGGGGAAAAAATTAACTGAATGTAACATAAAATTAAAGTAAGTTTTGTGAACTATTCAAGTTATTATAAAAAAAATTTTATTTGTATTCTAATAAAAATTGTCGTTTTTAAATGCCATATCCGTTGTAAGGCAATTATCACAGTAATTAAATTTTTTTAAAAGAGAAATTTAATTTATACCTTCAAGTTATTGTATAAAATATACATATTTACTAAATATATTAAAATGCTTATAAAACATTAAATATATAAGTTACGATTTCTAAATTTTCTTTTATCTAGGAAGAAATATTTATATATTGGATATTGTATTGTATTTATAAATATTACTATGAATATAAGTATATTAAGTAAATTATGTAATTCATTGGTTAAAAAATATAGTTGTATTTGTATAATCAGAATTTTTATTTAAAATTCACAATTATACAAAAATGAATTTATTTACTAATAAATTTGAACTCATCTTTATAATTAATGGCTTTAAGTTTAATTATATTTCAATAATTTATCTGCAATATTTTCTAGAACAAATATCAACCAACTAAAGACTTATTAAAGCTTATTAAAGTTGTACAATTTCATAATAATATATATAAATTATATAAATAAAAATATTTTTTATAATACATTGTTTATTTTTATGTAATTTCATCTAGTATGTGTAATTAGTAATTATATTTCTCAAATTTAATTCTTTATTAATTCTCTTGATTTCACATTGACTAAAAGTTTTGATTTTACCATAATGAAACAATAAATTGCTATGTTATTTCTTACTTCATTACTTATTTGACCCGTTTTTAACTAGATGCTTTGTTTACGGTAACATTAAACTAATTACAATGCTCTTGAAATTTATACTTAGTTATATATATCCTGAAAATATAATATTTTATTACATTTATTATTTCTTTTTTATTATTTATCATTATTTCTAATGTTCAAAGTATTAAATAAAAACAAAAGGCATCAAACTTTATAAATAAAATATAAATTATGCTCAGAAAATTTTTCTTCTTTTGCACTCATCCTATTTATTTGAATTATTCATTATCCTAATAAATATTTGGACTTAACATTCATGCAATTCAATATGAGACAATGAGCAATAATATTACTTAAATTATTGGAAAATACTAATTAGAAAAATTAAATGTAAAATAAATGTTAAAAATAATTCAAGTCACAGTAGATTCTGAATCCTGAATTATGAAATTTTTAAATTTTCAGTTTTAAAATACAATTAAAGTATTCAAATAATTTAATATAGCATATAAAAATAAGATTTTTCATGAAAATACTGTATATAAAAGTTATAAATTACACAGAATTACTGATTGAATATTAATAAATTTCGTATCAAAATATATATGACGTTTTAAAACTCCTTTTAAATGTGTTTATGTTACATAATTTTTATTTAAACAATATAATATAACCCGAATTAGTTTATTATAGTGAAATACTTTTCTTATACTCATATAATATTTTAATTGCATTTTAAACAAATTAATGTAATGAAAATAATATATTTGTACTATTTATATTATTGATTTATGTGAATTATTATATTTATGTTTTTGATATATTATTTATAAATATACATGAATGTATATATACAAACATTATTTCAATATGCAACTCTACTAATGTAAAAATTAATTGCGAAATTTCAGTATGACGTTATTTTGAATTTGATTATTACAAAATAAACTAATACATATATTTGTTTTATATAATTCTAAAATTGTATTAATAATTTATTTATATTTTGCTTATTATATGTTATTATAATTAATTTTGTAAGTAAAAGTACCTTAAGGAATATAAACTATTGAAAAACTATAATTAGAAGAAAATAAAATGCTTTTGATTAGTAGAAATAGTCTATAAATTAAAGTTTTTTTTCACTTTTATTTTACTTTGAATTATAAGTGTATATTAAAAATACTTATATTTTAGGATATATTAAAAGAAAAACTGAAAGAGATAGATACTCTTCGAAAAGAAAGAGATTTAGAACGTGAAAGAGTCACAAAAGCTGCTAATCAAGCTGACGAGGCTGAAAAAATTGTCATGGTTTTAAAAAAAGAATATGAAAAGGTAACTTTTATTTTCTGAAAATTTAATTATTATTGATTTATTGATTAGACTTTGATATTGTAGTTCTCATTTTATAGTATCGTGAGGAAACTGAAAAACTTTCGCAGGATACTCAAGAAAATTTGATAAAACTTTTTGAAGAGAAGAATTTATTACTAACGCAACTAGAAGAGGAACGTACAAAATGTGAAGACTTGCTCTTTCGATTTGAAGAAGAATCTATAAACAAGGCTGACATACAGGTAAAAAAAAATTATATTAAATGAAACTTTTGACAGAGTTTTCAGAATCAATAGAAGTCAGTATTTCACAGAATATTTTAATGATCATTGATAAATATTAATACACTGTATATACGTAAAAGGTGATGGTCACTGCTCTAAATGTAAAATAGATCTTTATATTATTTAAAAAGAGCTTAATAATTAAATTCTAATTCTGTAGTTATTAACATATATTTCAAATGACCAAATAACGTATAGTTGAATATAATATTTTTTAAATAATTGAAAAAATTAATACTCTAGTTTGAAGTAAAAATTATAATTGAAAAATTTTATAAATATATCATTTTTAGATTTATAAATATAATTCAATATTGAGAATTCAATTATATATAAAAATATATAGGAACTATTGAATTATCAATAAATTTTTAAATTACATATTCAATACAATTAATTTATTTTCAACTGAACAAGATTACTTATTAGTAAACTAACTAGGCGTATATTTTTCATTTGTTTTCAGAAAGAGCACTCTGAGCAAAGTGTAAGTATCTGCTGGAAGTCTTTTGGGTCTGAGGATACGCTCAAGATTTTGTTCTGCACAGCTTGCTTCAATTTCACAATAGAATTCTTGTTTAGCTTTTTGCACATTCTTACCAAAATCTATTTTCTATTTCTGCTTATAAAGGCATTTATAGTTCTAATGTCGTGATTATTTCAATTATAAAAAAAAACTACTAACATTAAAAACTAATTACTTAGAAAAACGATAAATTTTTTTGCAAATAGATACTTTACTTAAAGAATATCGAAGTTTAAACAAAACAGTTTCAAATTTAATAATTTATATTCCACGAAAGATTATTATGTAAAGAATTGAATTTTAAACTCTGGGAAAATTATGCATATATATATAATGTTCAAAAGCAATTAATTTCAAAGCTTTAATTAAAATGTAAATATAGAAAGTTCATATTCAATTTTCGAATCTATAAATATTAGTGCGTTCAATGTTTATGTTTTTTTTTTTTATGAAAAAATAAAATAATAATTATATAAATTATATAAATTAATAAATATATAAATTAATTATAAAATTAAGATGCGTTTTCTGATGTTTCGTTTTGACTGTTTTCGAATCATTTGCTAATCTGTAGTATTTTATTTATTTGTCAAATGAAAAAGTGGATATAACTTCTATAATTAACTTCTTTAGTTATCGAAATACTTATTTCTTAAAATATTATGTCTAATATTTTTCAAATTTCACTTTATTAATTTTAAACTGAAGGTAGAATTGAAATCTATGTAGTTAGGCTAAATTTAAATAGATTCTTGATATATTTTACGTAAAATATATCTTTCTTTAATCTATCAAATTTTTATTTTTATTTAATCTTTAAAAATTTAAAAAAATTAATTCAATATAATATTAAATAACATATTTAATAAATGTTTAATTTATAAAGTTTTTTCAAAAATCTTAAGAAAATTGGAAGTGAATTCATTCACGAAGTAATATATAGAAATTGTATCAAGTTAATTAATGCCATTATAAAAATAAATATTATTCGTGAAATATTTATAATATTTGTGAAATTATATCCTCTTTGATTAATTTAATATAATGTATATAAATCTGTCGTTATGCTATTTTTTTTTACTTTTCTCTGTTAATATTTCCGTTAATTATTTATAATATTATATTATATATATATATATATATATATATAACTCAATTTATTGTAGAATGTGATGATTAAATATCATAAATCACTTTATAATTAGTATCATTTTTTAACAATTATTTACGCGAATTATCAAATGCATTTTTCGATAAATAGGTGGCTAATTCATTATATGAAAATAAAATAAATGATCTTGAGAAACAACTTTCGGAAGAACGAGAACGTGTTATACAACTTGAAAGAGATACGACTAGGTTATTTGAAACTGAGGAAGAATTAACTAAACTCCGAATACAAACGCAAAATGCTACAACGGAAGAAGCAGATGAATTTTCAAGTAAAAATTATTTTGTATGATTTTAATGGTGTTTATATTTTCATCTGATCTCATTCAAATAATGGCCTTAAAATAATATTTACAGATACACGAATATAAATAATTTTTATAAATTCTTAAATATCTTTTTATAATTTGTAATTTAAGCATTTTTATTTATATCATCAGATTTACAAAAATGTAATGAAAAGTTGGAAAAAACAGAATTGGAACTCAAAAATCTCCTGGAAGATAAAACAAAAATAATGGAAAACCATATTCTTAAAATGAACGAAATACATGAAAAACTTAAAGGAAAGGAAAAAGAAAATCTTGTTCAAGAAGAATTCAATTCAAACTTAAACAAAAAATTAGAAGAAACTACTAAACAACTTGAAAAAAAAAGTGCATACATTGATGAATTAAGTAATCAATTTAAGGTTCAAACAGAAATCTTACAAAAAAAAAATGAGCAACTTAAAGAAACAATGCAAAAAGTTACAGAACATAATACAACAGAAAGAATGAAACTAATAGAAACGCACGAGAAAATATTAAAAGAAAATGATGAAATTAGAAAATCACAAGCTTCAGCATTTAAACAGGAATCAGAAAAACTAACTGCACAGAAAAATATTTTAGAAAATTTCAAAATGGAAAGTGATCGACAAATTCAAGAATTGTCAGAATCCTTCCAGTCTCAGTTAAGTTGTAAGGATTCTCAGATTAAGGAAATTTCTACTAAACTATGCAAAAAAATGGAAGAAGCCGATTCATTAGCATTCGAATTAAATAAATTAAGAATCAAATATAAGAATGAAATTGAAATTATTACACAAGAAAAATCAAAATTGGTATTTGTTTAAAATAATATAGATTGTTTATGATTGTCATTTATAAACTCGAAATAATTAGAACTTCATATATAATTTCATTATGTAATAAGTTTAATCAAACATAAAATATGTTATAATGTAATATTCTTCATATTTTAAATCATTATGAAAATATTATTTTTCTAAAGTACATAAACTTAACTAATCACAGATATAAATTATTTTAAAATAACACTGAACTTATGAACTTGTAAAATTTGTACCATTTTTTCATATATATAATTAAAAGATATTTAATTTTTAGGAGAATCATATTACTTCATTGACAGAAGAAATCAATATTTTAACGGACAAATTAAATAAATCAGATGAAAATAATAAAGTGAAAGACTGTGAGTTATCAAAACTTCAGAGTTCTAAAATAGAGGAAATAACACTTTTACAAAAAGAATTTCAAGAGCAAATAGAAATCAGAAATAAATGCATTCAAGATATTACTGAGACAGCTTCTCAAAAGTCTATAAAATTAAACCTTAACGAAACAGAATTATCTGATTTAAAATTAATTATAGAAAATCAAAATGAACAAATAAAAAATCTTTCTGAAAAAACTTCTGGTATATAACAGTATATATATATATATATATATACAATGCATGCTTATAAATTTTATATTTTAAATATTTTTTCAACGATTTCAGAATTGCAAGATACTTTATCTTTTTCTGAGCAGACAATAAGTAATTTAGAAAGTGAATTACTTATATATGAAAATAATTTAATGGCACTAACTGAAAAGTGTAAAAAATTTGAAGACAATATCGTTTACTTAACTAATCAGAAAGAAAAATTGGTAAAATATTAACTATTTATTTAGCACAAAAATACTTAACATAAATTTACTGATTACTTTTCTTACAGAGAGAGGAAATATCGCATATTATCAGCACATCAGAAGATTCATCCGATAAACTTATTCGATATAATGAGCAATTTAGACAAAAGGAAAAAGAACTTGATGAAACTAAACATAAAGAATTTGAATTAAGGCAATCACTGATAGCTGCAGAATCTAAAACAAGTATGTTAGAGCAAGATCTAAATAAAATTACTTTAATAGTCAGTGAACTTGAAAAAGAAAATGAAAAAATTAAGGTGCATTTAAAATTAGAAATACAAGAAAAACAAAATATTACAGAAAAATTTACAGTTAGTCAAACAATTGAACAAGATTTACTTAATAAAAATAAAGTTCTAGAAGATAATCTCAAAAAACAAATTTTAGAATTATCGAACTTAACAAATGTCATTAAAACAGTAGAAGAAAGAAATAGTTTCCTAGAGAGAGAACTTGCTGATACTTTTGAAAAACATAAAATTAAGAAATATCAACTTGAAAAACAAATAAGTGAAGGAGGAAATGATCAGATTATTTTAAAAGAAAATATTGATACTTTAGAAAAATTAAATGCACAATTACTTTGTGACCAACAAGCTATGGATATATCTATGAAAGAGGTCAAAGAAAATTTGAATACCAAAAATCAACATGTTTTGCAACTAGAATCCTTGGTTAATACTAAAGATTTACAGCTTAATGAAATTATTAACAGCTTAGAAATTTTAAAAATAGAAAAAGAAAAAATCAAGCAAAATTTATTAGAAATTAATGTTAAATATAACGATGCACTTACAGAATTAAATATATTAAAGTCTTCTAATACTAATTTAGAGTCCCAAATGGCATTAGAAATTGCCAATTTGAAACAACAACTTGAGGACGAAAAAAATACCTTAGATACAGCATTAAAAGAATCTAAAAATTATTTAGATGAACTAACAAAAGAATTAACAATAGTATCAGAAAATGGCAAGAAATCGAATCAAAGATGTTGTGAAATGGAATCCATAATAATATCGAAAGATAGAGAAATACAAATATTGAATGAAAACTTGATTTCAGAGAAGAAAAATAATGAAATCTCAAATCAACAACTTCAAACCTTTCAAGATAATATAGTGATCAAAAGTAATGAAATTCTTTCAAACATTAATTTTATAACATCTCTTAATGAGAATATAAAAAATCTAGAATCAGATATTCGTATTTTAAAAACTGATTTAGAAAATAAAACAAAAATTATAGTGAAATTAGAAAATACAATTTATGAAATAAAAAAATCAAAAGCGAATAATGACAGTAGTAATATTGAAGAAAAACAAAAAGAAATGGATGAATTAATAAAAAAACATAAACATGAATTAGAGCTTAAAGATTCGATAATTTTAGAAATTAGTAATGCGTTGGAAAATAAAGAAAAAATAGTAAATGAATTTAGTAAGAAGAATGTAGGTTCTGAAGAATTGTGTATAAAATATGAAAATGACTTAGCCTTAAAGGATAAAACTATTGATAATTTAAAAAATTCGGAAGAAACTGCAAAGAAAGCTGTAGAAGATTATAAAGATAAACAGAAAATTATAGATAGTTTGATAATAAAGCATGAAAATGATCTCAAATTAAAGGATAAATTTATTTTGGAACTTCAACAAACAAAAAGAGAAATGGAAGAAAGAATACAAAATTTCATAGAACAAATCAATTATGCTCATAAAAAATGTGCAAATTTAGAAGAATCTCAAACATACCTGTATGTATAATCGACAAAATAATAAATACATTTTTTATTACATCTCATTATTGTATATAATGTTTCAGGGAAAAAGAAAATAAACAACTTTTAATTAACTATAATGAGACAATAGCTAAATTAAATATTACCAATGAAAATTTTAAAAATAGTACAAATGTAAGACCTATTTATTTTTTTTTCTTTTCATTTTCAACATGTTATTTGAAACATTTTTTATTCTATTTTTTCAGAATGATATATTGAAACATAATGTTATTGAAAACACTGAAGAAAATACAAAATCTATTTTACATAGTTCAGAATCAGAATTTGAAAAATTGAAGGAAGAATATGATCTTGCTAAAGGCCAGATTGATTTTTTAAACTCTGTTATTGTTGACATGCAGCATAAAAATGAGGCATTATCATGTAAAATTCAAGTTTTAGAAATGGGTATTCCTACTCAAGAGGCTGATGATTATAATCTGTAAGTAGTATATATATATATATATTTTTTTTTTTTTAATACAATTGTAACATATATTTAGAAACACTAATATTTATTTTAGAAATCTAATTGAAAAAAAAGTACAACCGCTTAGAATGTTCTGTGATATATGCGATCAATTTGATATACATGAAACAGAGGATTGCCCGAAGCAAGCTCAAGATCCTGATCCTATAAAACCAAAATCTGATAAAAAGATACCAATTCAAAGGCCATATTGTGAAAATTGTGAAAGTATGTTTATTGATTATGTTGTATTCATATATTATTTTATTTAATGTTATTAATCTATTTATTTACAGTGTTTGGCCATGATACTATGATGTGTGATAAAACAGAAACATACTAAAATTGTTAAGAATAATACCTTTTAAGAATCTTGCCATGTATCCTAAAAAATCTATTCTTGTTGAATTATAAAGTATATTTTTGTATATAAGTAACTGTATGAAAACAAGATTTGTAATTAAGCATATGCATATATATAGATAGATAGATAGATGATAAATAGGTAGGTAGATAGATATGGATACTGATTTTGATATGTATATATACATATATAAATGGCGATAAAAAGATGAGCAGCCATAATGAAAGTATAATGAAAGTAAATTTGTACTATTTACTTTCTATATCTATATCATTCATTGCTATGTAATTTATGTAATTGAAGATATCGGTATAATATAATATATATACATGAATGTTTAATGTGTTCTGAAAAACAACGGTATCCGATAAATAAAATACAAATAAATTAACTTAATAATTTAATAACAAACGCTACAAAATGCGTCTAAAAACTCCTTGAAAAAGTAGACATGAGTTACATAGTTTATTTTGACTTTCTCTCTATTATTCAGTACACGTTGAATATCATATACATATTTCGATAATTTATCATTTCATTATCTGTTTTTCGTTGCGATTGAAAATTATTGTTACTATTAATCATTAACGATCACTTTTAATTGATAAAATATCATGGTATATATACTCTTTTAAAACCTGTTACTAAAAAGGCAATCCTTGCCACCTCGACATTTGATCAATTCGAACATATTTCCAATATGTTACAAGTTCAAACGCATCCCTGTTTTTAAATAACAGCAAAAACTTATTCACTATCTGTAAGATGAATATCGGCTAGTTACTCAACGTTTACGTTCGTTAATCAAATAGATATCATAACATATTTTCAAAATTTACATTTGATTATCCTTAGTATCCAAATGAGCAAGTTCAGTTCTCTCACAATATAATTAATTATCATATTTCTTATCGCCATCAAATATGTATAGATAGTCTTTTGCTTGATCACATCCTTTAATTTTGTATATATTGTGAAATAATGAGTAATTTTGTTGTAGATACTATACATACAAAGTATAGCAACTTAAATATAAGAGCGTTTTGGGATCGACTTCCTTAATTACAATTCATAAGTGAATAACCTGTTTTTACTCAATTATAATATTAATGCATCCGTTGATCGGTTATTCAAGTTAGTATATTTGTATATCTTGCTTATGGATTAAGCAAAAATCTAAACGAATTTCTTTAACGAGTCAAACAATACAATATATGTCAATATATGTATATTACTTGTAAATAACAACAAATTAGAAATTATCCAACTTGATTATAGAAAAATATATGTATAGACAGTGTTGATTGTTAACTCATTTCTCCTTTTTTACTTTATTCTTCTTATATTAACATCAATAATATATGAATTATATAAATTATAATAAAAAGTTAGCGCGACATACTTTTATACTAAATACAAAAATAAATACATCTTAAATCAGTATCGAACTATACTACTATTAAACCTTATGTGTCATGTAGATTAATACAACGAATTATGTTTAATGGTAATGATCTAAAGCAAAAAAATTTGAAGTTATACAGTAAAAACATTTATAATTACATAAATAGTAAAAAATCAATTATATACAAAGAAATCATTTTGAAACAAAACAGAAACATTCTTTTAAATAGACTATTGGATAATATATGAAAAAATTGTTTTATTTAACAAATCTTACATGTTCTTCCTTCAATTTTCGTAATTTATCAAATTAGAATTTATCAAATTCTGAAACATTTAAAACTTTAGCTCAAAAGATAATAAAATAAAGAAAATGCAAAATATTAAAAATTTTCTTATTTAAAGCAAAAAAATTTATTTCAATTGTTTTTTTTTACATAAAACAAACTGACGTATATAATTTAACATTTTTGCAACTGATATAAATTATTTACTTAATTATGTTAGATACAAATTAAAAAAAGATTTTATTTAATTTAATTTTCAAAAATGAGAAAGTTTTTAAAAAAAATTATAGAATATAAAATGTCAACAGAATGAAACAAGTAAATTAAAAAAATTAATGAATAAAACAATTAGTGAAAAGAAACATTTACCATAATTACCATACTATCTGCATATGCGTTTGCTTACATAAAAATTATATATGTGTGTGCGTGCGTGTGTATAATTTTTCATTTAACTCAGTTGTTAGTCATTTATATTTTTAATATTTACTTCGCTTAAAGTTTTCTCAATTTAAATTACACGTCTAAAATAGCAATAAAAATATATGTTAATTTATTTCATCAAAATTTATATTATCATACAATTATTGTATTATATAAATAGAAATTTTTCAAATTATTTAATTTTTTTTAATGAATACACCGAATGAAAAGCAAAGAGATTTATATATTTTAATAAATGAAAATTCTATGCCATTATATTTATACACTATGTAAATATAAAATAAATGTTATTTATGAATAATAATTGTTAATATAATATTTTATATACTTCATTGTACCATTTTAATAATTTCTGCATCATATTTTAATATAAACAATTGAACAAGTTATTTGTCTATAATTATATAATACTTATCTATGATAATTGCATCTCCAACAAACGAAAATATTACTAATCTATAATTAATATTCCAAAAATATTAATACATTATAAAAATAATATAATGTAATATTATAAATAAAAGATAATGTCATACATTTAAATTACTAAAATACGGTCAAAATTATTTATATAATGTAAAATAAATAATAAAATGCATATCAGAAAATAGATAAATTATTAATTTTTAAAAATATTTCATTAAATGATCAATTTGTATTGAACATAATAAATGCTTGTAAAAGACAAAATTAAAATATTTAAATTTCCGATGTATTATTATATACAATTTGTTAATATTCTTAATACTAAAATAAATAACTTGTATACCTATTTTAATTCTTTTTAATTAACAATATTCAATATTTTCCATTACTCTAATTTTATTATATATTAATTATACTAAGAGTAATAATTGGAATTTTTATTAAGTATAAAAATTAAACACTAAGAGATAGTATGAAAAAAAAAATAAATAAAAAAGTAAATATATATATATATACAAAATCAAATTACAAACTTATCTAAAAATAAAATGAAAACATTTTTCCATTGTAAAACATTTTGATGAAAATTTTTTTTTCAACTTCTATATTTTACTTTAATATTTTTTTTTCATCTACCAGTAAACCCATTATATCCATCACTGCAGAATTGAATATTCTAAAAAATATAGAAATGTCAATTACATTTACATGAAACAATTGTAATAAAATAGTCATTTATAAAGATATTGAAAAATTGTGCTACTTTGACTGTATTTGATCACCAGGAATATAAAATGGATCACTCACTGCATTTGCATAAGCTATGTGGAGTTTACGGAACATCTGCAATTACAATGTTTTTTAAAAATATGTATTATATAAGAAATAAAAAATAATTTTAATTTAAATTAATCTATTTGAAATTTAATAAATATATTTTAAAGTACATAATAGGTAAAATTATTAATATTATCAAATTTTGTAAAAAATTATTAACAATGATACTGGTAAATAGATATTACTATATATATATATATATATATATATCAAATTTAATTACAAAAAATAATAAAAATGATAAAATATTATCAATAAATATCACAAATAAATATACTGTAATGAAAATTAAAATATATTTTTTCAATGTTATGAAAGTTTTCGTTGTTTTATATAATTTATGTTGATCAACTTTATATGTTATATTTTATTTATATTTAAATATTTTAAAAGACTGTTTATTTTAAATTATATGTGCAATATAATATACTAAGCACAAATGGTTTAGAAATTAAAAAAAAATATAATTGAATGAGCGTATAAAAATATTTTTTTAAAATAAATATGTAGATAAGTCCATTTAAAATTTATCAAAATACATTTTGTTGACTAAAAACCATTTTTGACTAGAAACGTTATATCTTATATTTCAATCGATAGAAAAACATATTAAATCTTACCATTCTTACTTCATTATCTCGTAAAGTAGCATTAGAAGATTGTAAAACAATTATAAATTTAATTTTGGTATTAGTAGCATATCCAAATCTAAAAATAAAAAGAGATCTATTTATTCTAATATAAAATGTGTAAAACATTTAATTATTAAACGAAAAAATTTTACATTTTATATTCCTCTGTGGAATATAACATTCCTAAAAAGAGTTCCCGCACATCTGCAGCTGTTTTATTTCCAATATTTAATTTTTCTTCAACAATGTCAATTGAAGTATGAATTTTATAATGAAATTGTAAAGCATTTGCCTCATCAGTACATTTTATATATTTTGGAGAATTCTATAAAATAACAATAAATTTTACAAAACACAAATATAAACAGTTTATATTTTACAATATATATTTCAACACAATTTTTTTTTTATTAACTTTTTTCTTCTACATTATATACAATTCATTTTTATCAAAACTTACATCTTTACCTATTACTGCTATACAAACAGCCATGTTGAATTAATAAATTATAAAATGTTTAAATGTATTTTATGAAATTTATTTAAAATTTATAATATTAAATCAACATTTTTAGGTTAAGATACGTATTACACAAACAGCTGATTCCTGAAATAAATCAAAAGAAAAGATATTGCAGTGGAAATATAACGTGAATTAAAATGATTTAACAAAATACTAAATATTTTTATTTAAAAAGTATTTTATTTACATACATATATTAACAATACTTGTGAAGATCTATATTTTAATTATATTTATTTACAATATTTTATAATATAATAAAATTCAAAATTTTTCACAATACCCACATTTACACGTTTCTATGTCCAATCTACATTTTTATCATTTGATTATTCATAATATCTTTTTTTTAGTGTTCTATACTTTTTTAACATATATAAGGCTTCCAATTCTTTGATAACGAAATTTCCATGGGCTATCATTTTTTCTATTTTTTCTGTATCTGTCTCATATCGATTTTTTTCAAACACCTTTTTCAATCTGACACGAAAATAATCATAACCTTTTGGATAATCTTTTCCCATATAGAGTAACTAAGCAAACATAATCAAAAGATTAGATTATTAAGGTATATACGGATGATATATTAATATTTAAGAAGGGAGAATTGAAGATAATAAATTTAGTAAGCAAATTGTTAAGCAAAAAAAATACCTTAAAAAAAAATAATAATCATATTCAGCAGAATGTTTAAAATAATAATGTAATAAGTACTTGACTTTTAGGATTATTTATGAATAATATACTTATATACTTACAGTTTTGTAAAGATTTATGGTTTTACTTTTTTGTGACATATTTTTCTATATTTATTAAATAAATAAAATTATTTATGTATTTAATATTTTATTGTTATATAATGTGCTCATTAAATTAGAAATTAAGGCTATGCATCTTTCACGTATAATTCACTTCAGAATAACACAAATTTTTTCTATATTATCCATGAATTATATAAAATTGAAGATATTGAATAATTAAAAGCAGACATATTGTTTAAAATTTGTTTGCTTTGATTAAAACTTTAAAGTATATATATAGATTCATTCATTATCTTTTATTAATTTAACAGCTTTATATACATAAATAAATAACATTTGTGGTACATTTCATAATATAAAATTTATTATATATAATTAATGATTTTAAACATTTAAAAATATTAAACATATACAAGATTAAAAATTTATAAAATTAATCGTTTTAAGCAATATTTGTAATTCAGAATAATCGTTACAGATAGCTATTAATCATATATTTTTATTATGACTACAGCTTATAACATTTGCTTATATCTCTGATATTTTTATTGCTTATAGTCTTATTACTCTACAGATAACAGAAAATATTACAATAAAATTAAAACAACGTAATTGAATATTTTAATAATAGTTATAATAAATATATATATAAATAATCGAAAAACAAAGATACAAATACTTTATTAATAAAATTACCATATTAACGTTACGCATTTCAAAATAAACTCAACTCGAGTTCCACAAAATGTCTACAATACGCGAATACACAAGCATGATAATAAAGAGTTCGAATGACTTATGGTGAAGTACAGTATGGTCTGACGTAAATACGCACATGCCTGTGTTTATAGGAGGGCGCGAGTGCACACATACATGACTTGTATTTAGAGATCCATACTAAATGTCAACTGTTGCTATAATATATCAATACAGACTATTTTTGAATAATAATCCCAAATGAAACTTAGTGTATTATGATTCTTCATGCCGTCGTTGTTTTGATTTGACCATACTCTTCCTTCCTCCTTTTTATCGACTCTAGTAACAAATCGAACTGAGTATTATAGCCTGACTACACCGACGCTAACTGTAGCATAAGAAAATACGATTCACAGTAGTTTGGTCCATTGACGGCTAAACTCTATCAAGTCAATAGGTAAATATATTGCACAGTATATATTTAACTTTCACTTTTCTTTCCAAATTGGTAATTTATTTTAGATCACTATAATTATATAGTTTCACCGTTTATATTAATTTCATAATTGATTTAAATACAACTACAACTAAATTAAGAATCGCACTCTCCTCTGTATTCAGAATTACCTTTCATTGGTACTGACCAAATTAGAATATAATCTTATTTAAAAGCTTCGTGTATTATATTAGTGGGTCTTTGCTTAGAATTTCGTTGATGCTTTAAAATTAAATTCATTCTACATAAATAATAAAAACAAACGCGGTTTATTATCTGCTTTGCGTGTGTGCGTGTGGGCATCAACGATTGTGTGTATGCACGCGCGTATGGTTACGCGCGCGTAATAATATGTATATAAACAATTTTTTAGTACTTTATAATTTATATGATTTTATAATCAAATTTTTTAATCATTTTAAACATATAAATACATCATTTATTAAAAGTCAACAAACTATAAAATTTTTATAACAAGTTACTAGCGTTTTGTGAGTAGTGTTGGTTGCTTGATTTCTCCTATGCATGAGATTGGTGTATCATTTATTATTGTTTTTCTGGTAATGCCCAACTGATAAATAACTCATACTAAAAGGTCAATAAAGTTATCAAAATTATTTATAAAATATAATTTCACTTTCCAGAAATTGAATAAAAATGATTCCTCTTACCATCAACTGTATTTTCCTGCTATACGGTAAGTTTTAATTTATGTTATTTTAATATAATCAAATGATACACATGTATCAAAAAGAGAAATTATTCATATATTGAAATTAAAAATCGATACTTAATTATAATTGTTATAATTGTCAATAATTATTTTTTGCTTTTTTTAATAATATAAATGAACTAAAAATATTCAAATATAAAAAATCAATTATTAAATATGTTAAAATATTTATCCGTATTATGTTTAGGCGTTTGTTCTGCAAGTCCAGTAAGAACACCATCATTTAATAATGCTTATACTGCAAAAGGTACTTTATACATACCTTATGCTGAAATTCGAGAACCATTTTATGCATGGTTTGATGATCAAACAGGCAATAGTAGAATAGATTATTATGGAGGTAATGTTAAATCGATTTCTGTTTAAATGCACTTCATCATTTGTATATCAATTATTAATTAATTTAGGTATGGTCAAAACTTATCAACTATCAAGTGAAGGGCCTTACGGAACTAGCATTAAAGTAGCTCCCGTTACAACTGAAAGTGATGTAAATAAACAAACATGTCTACAAGTAAATGGAACAGGTGAAATGAAAATTAGACCACAAACTATTATACCGGATACTAATGGAATGGAAGTGAGATATAATTTAATTGAAATAATTCCATATAAAATTTTAACAAACATTTTTTTAATGTACATTATGTACAGTGTATTGGAGAAGAAATGATCAATGGTTTAAACTGTGAAAAATGGCGCCTTGTTGAAACTATAGAAGAAAAAACAAATAAATATACCTTATGGATTCGTTATAAGGTAATTTACAAATATATTTAGCTTGCATACAAAAATAAGTATGCCAAATATCATAAAATTTTTCTACTTTCAGAAATCAACGTCGATACCTCAAGTAAAAGTACCAATTCCTGTAAGGTATGAAATGCGTGGCTTTAACACACTTTTAGGATCTCATTATGATCATTATTATTTAGAGTATGATTGGTATTCTTTTGAAACACCCAGTTCTGAAGTTTTTCAAGTAGAGCAAAGTCAGTACAAATTTTATTATAATATACATTTGAAATTTTATTTATGTATACAAGAATTATCTATACATTAATTTAATCTTTTAAATTTTATAAAACAGATTCAAGCTGCATAAGTTTCCCTGGGCCAGGTGATCAATACGTATATAGTTTTAATCCAATGCAAGAATTTATTCATAATTATCAAGATCATGTAGACGCTGCATTCAATAATTTTAAAAATGCTTATAAGAAGAATTATGGTCATGATTTAGAACATAGGAAACGTAAAGAACATTTTAGACACAATCTTAGGTAAAACAATGAAAATCTTGTGATCATAATGAAGATTTTTAAATTATAATTTTTATATTAGGTATATTCATTCAATGAATCGTGCCAATTTAGGATTCCAATTGGATGTTAACCATTTGGCAGACCGTACAGATTCCGAAATAAAAGTTTTGCGTGGAAAACAATATACAAAACATGGATATAACGGAGGCTTACCATTCCCTTATGAAATTGAGAAAGAAAAGAATAATTTACCTGAAAATTTCGATTGGAGACTGTATGGTGCTGTAACACCAGTAAAAGGTAAAAGAACTTATTATTCAAAGGAAACATATATGTACTATATACTTGATAATTTTGCTTTTTTATTATACTAATTAATTATGTAATCATTTTTAGATCAATCTGTATGTGGTTCTTGTTGGAGTTTTGGTACAACTGGTGCAGTTGAAGGTGCTTATTATATGAAATATAAAAAATTAGTGAGACTTTCACAACAGGTAAATTAATCATTTTATTTAAAATAAATATTCACAACTTAATTATAAATTTAAAATACTAAAAATAATCTCAAATTAATCAGGCTCTTATTGATTGTTCTTGGGGTTTTGGAAATAATGGCTGTGATGGAGGCGAAGACTTCCGTTCCTACCAATGGATTATGAAACATGGAGGTTTACCAACGGAAGAAGAATATGGTGGTTATCTTGGACAGGTAAATTAATATAAGGGAGGTATGGATTCATTATACATCTATTATGCACACACACACATATATATATATATATATATATATTCTATATAGGATGGATATTGCCACATCAGTAATGTTACCCAAATTGCAAAACTAAAAGGATTTGTCAATGTTAAACCTGCAGATATAAATGCACTGAAACTTGCTATTTTTAAGCATGGACCCATATCAGTAGCTATAGATGCTTCTCACAAGACATTTTCGTTTTATTCAAATGGTGTATATTATGAACCTTCATGTGGTAAGTTTTTGAATGTTAATAATATTTTCAAAAATTATGAAATAATTATTTTTAAATATACATGAATAAGTGTAAATTTTGTAAGATAAATTTTGAGAAATTGTAACCTAACATTTAATTATAACTTGTCACTTCAGAATTGATATAATAAAAATTTTTTGTTAACTTGTACATAATAGGTAACACGGAGCAAGCACTTGATCACGCAGTTTTAGCTGTAGGTTACGGTACCATAAATGGTAACGGCTATTGGCTAATAAAGAATTCATGGTCCAATTACTGGGGTAATGATGGATACATACTAATGGCTCAGAAAAATAATAATTGCGGAGTTTTAACCGCACCAACATATGCAATTGCAGCATAATACTCTATAGCTTTAAAGTAATGTTTATCTTAAAGCAACAATGGTACCAGATTAAAAATTAAAATAATAACATATGCCAAAAATATTCGATAAATCATTATATTATGTATTATTAAAATTTACAAGTGTAAAATTTTGTGCATTTATTCATTTTATATAATAAAGTAATTTTTGTAATAAAACTGTTTTCACTGTTATTTTGAGGAGATTTTTTGTTAAAATAAATACACAATTTTTTGATCTAAACAAAATCATTTTTTATTCTAATTTTTCACTAGCAACAGTTAAACTTTTCTCAGGTCATTCGCATTTTGTAACTTTTAACATTAATTTATACCCACAAACAATCTTGAAATAAATAATCATTGATATCTATTTTTAAACATTTATATTTAAATAATTCAATTATTCATTCAAAATAAGTTTGTTAGTGAGTGTTCAGAGAATCGTATACAAAATCAATTACTAAAAACTTTGAATCTACAATTAAATTAAATTACAGAAGTAATACCTAAAAGAATTGAATAACTTAAGATGGCAGTTAACAGAAGTATAGTTTTATTCAAATTTTATTTAACTTGACATTTAAAAATAAAAATTATGTTTGAAAAGTTTTTTTAAGTATTAAATGTTTACTAGTTCATTTATTGTAATATATAAATGTAATAATTTGTAAAGCAATTAATTTGGAACAGAAATTAGTCATCTTTATTTTATAAATCATCATGTCTGAATATTAAAACAATTGATACCGATTTGAAAATAATTTTAATGAATTTTCATTTATCTAATGGCATTGTTTCTATTTTTTATAATATAAACATATAAAATCGATTATTTTTATACATATGAAAAATACTATTTTGTTGGATTTCATTCGTGAACAAACATTTTTAAATAATTATTGTTCTTTTTATTCTCATATTTCCTGTTATTATTACTGTTATCATTATTATTAATACTATTAATAGTAATATTTTAATTGGCTAGGAATTCAAATCATTTCTTTGAAGTGTGTTTGGGAAGAAAAAATATTTATGAAATACTAAATAAATTTCTACAAGACTTGATATAGAACTGTATTATACACGATATATGGAATGTTGAATTTTACACATCAGAAAAATTGTAATAGTTAAACATTTATTATTGGTTGAAATAAAAAAAAAAATCAGGACTTATTATTAATATATCTACTAAAGAATTCATATTCATGTCTAATCATCAGAGAGAAGTAATTGCAGAATCGAAAAACCTTATAAATCACAGAAAATGTAGGTAATAATATAGCGCACGATTGCACTGAAAAAATAATAAATTCAATTAAATGCTTTCTTTCCTAACTTTTTAAGTACAGAATATTCGCAATAAAAGATAATTCTCTTGGCTCAACATTACTTTACTTATATATTCTTTCATATTTTTTTCTTACTTTATTATCCGCTAATATTATACACATATATAAGTATAGAAGCTCGCTAATATTTCTTGTCATTCATTTGGAAAATTTTCTTAATATATAAATCTTCATTTTATTCTTAGTTTTCACGTTATCACTTTTATAGACCCTGAATAGGTCCATAGTCGACCATTACGACAATATTTTTGCTATTTTTGGCCTTATTCGCCCGTACACGATATACAACGATTCCGACCTCGTCGAGCACAATCTTCTTATCTACTAGCTTATCAATGCGTAATGTATATTAAATTATTATAGAAATTACGTAGTAGAGGCTTATGGATCATTCAAATCCTACACCTCTTTATATCATCGTAAACTTTATAGTAAATAATCGTAAGCGCACGATTAATGTGTGTTTTGTGTGTGCGTGCGTGCGTGCGTGTGTGCGCGCGTGTGTGTGCATGTGTTCAATATATAATAATAAAATTTGATGATAGTTATCTTTACACAATCAAAGATTCACAATCCACCCTATCAAATAATATGAGAAATCATACAGATATTTATTATCAATATTTCGAATAGATTATTTTGAATAATAAATTGTTACAAGTATTTAAAGATTATTATTATCGTTAACAGACTTATACTTTCATTTAGTGATTAAATTAAGTAATGATTTTAATTAAAAAATAATACATAATATCGAAAGTAATTTACTAATATTTTTTGTCTCACTTGTAAAAATTATTCTTAACACGAATAATTTATTCAAATATATAATAATTATTATTTGTATAAAGCATTGCAATACCAATTATAGTGAATTATGGAATATATTATGAAAACAATTTTTCTCATTACAGAATTACACAGTTTTTTAGGGTGGAAATGTAAATGAAGAATAATTATAATAGCAAAACTTTTGTACTTCGAATTCACCAAGACGTTATACAATTGCAACTAAATTCTCGTGGATAATGCGCACATGAACCCTTCTATACTTTTCATATAGTTGTCGACTTTGTAAATCAATGTCACTCATCATTGATCGACACATTGTGAACGAAACTTGTCAAATTACAACTGTTAAAGGAAGTCCATTTCAAGAGCGTTATAAAGCGCTTGCATATCCGAGTGACCCTTTATTCTCCAAAAAGGAAAATTATGCGCTCGTGCTGCGGTTTCTTCATCCGAACCATCGCCTATAACTACATAAGTGCATTTGCGCCCAAATCTTGCAATGACCCTCCCAAAGCAACTCTCTTTACCTGAAAATTTTGAGAACATTTTGTTAGCTATTTATAATAGTATCTAGCGATAGAAATATAAATGTAATTAATTTGTCATTACTTTTTACAATTAATTAAAATAAATCCATAAGTATTTCAAAATGTATGCCTTGTTCGACAGTTTTTTATTTACTATATTACTTATGCTTACTTACTATATTATTACTATTATTATTATTATTATTGTTATTATTATTATTGTTATTATTATTATTATTATTATTGTTGTTGTTGTTGTTGTTGTTATTATTATTTCAAACTTTTCATACAATTTCTTTTAAATATCATTTATAGCTTTTCCTATAGTAAGCAATTTGTATGATTCCAATAATATCCATACATAATTTAATTGTAATATCCGTGTTTATTTCTCACCTATCATAAACTGCGCTATAATTTTTCTAAACATTATATTTCATAAAATTTATATGTAGTAAAATTTAAAAAATTATTTTTATATATTTATAAATGATTACAATGTTGTAATTTAACATTATACAATAAGCTGCTTTAAATAGCTCAAAATTCTTGCTTGAATTCTCTTATAAAAGATTGGCAAATAAAACTATGTAGCTAAAGCGATAAAATTATATGATCATCATTTTGAGTTGACTACTATAAAACTGCAGTTTCGTACGTATAATTGACAATTATTAAAATCGCTGGTAATTATATTTCAGAATCTTTTTTATTAATAGATATAAATGAAATTATTGATAATAAATGTAGAATGGTCTAGAAATAAATAATAGAAATTGCGTGAATGATACTTTTGGATCGTATATTCTTCTATTAATCATTGATTGATTGCATAAAAGTCGATAGTAGTAGCTTAAATGAGATCGGAGATATTAAATGGACTAACAAATTATATTTGAATTTAAGTTAATCATATTACATAAAGGAGTTAAATAATATCGATTTAATTTGAAAATCGAACGGAAGAGCTAAGCGTATTTTAATCAATAGAACCCACCAGTTTTCGATGCCGAATAAATATTCTCTATGGGGAAGAGCGCCCCAAGGCCAAAGAGCAGAATTTTCGAGAGCGACGGTATAAGCTGCTCAGAAGTGACGAGGATATTAATGCAATGATTCCTCTTGCCTATTAAGCTGAGGCACTTTATCGCCACGGTGAGCCAATTCTCAGTCTGCTGCTCGATCTCGGCCCTGAGGCTGAGCCAGTGCTCCCGCTTGGCCGCTCCTAATAAGCCGCCGACGTTGTTGCGGTAGTTGCAGTAGGTCTCCTTGATCTTACGATAGCGGAAGGCCAGCTTTCGCATCCAGTCGACGCCTCCACGCACCCCCGAGGGTAAGCAGAGACCATTATTTGCAGCCTCGCAATGAAAGCCATCCGTGGCAAAATTGTAGGAGGAGAGGTCCTGGCCGTTATCGTCCGACGATACGTCGTCGATGTGCGCCTGGTCGCAATCCTGCGAGCGCAAACTCTGTCATTTTTGTATCAAAATAAAGCCGTGTTATTTAATTTGTTGGTCACTGATAAGCGTGAATGCTTCTCAAAGGAAGCGAGAAGTACGAACGAACGATTTAAAATTGAAATAATTTAAGTAGCTATCAGGCCTTAATGTATTAATCATATTTTTTGACAAGCTAACAATATCGTTGCTGTACAATATATTTTATAAATTGAGTATTGAAATAATTCAATAAGATAAAAAAGAGGCAATGTATCGGGATCCCGAAAACGAAAGAAAAATTAAAAAAAAAATGGAATTTTAAAAGAACTTTATATTAGCAAATAGTTTGTATTATTGATACGACATTAATGGGATTGGTAATAGTATTCGTATTACACACTAGCTATAAAAAAAAAATAGCCGCCACAATATTCACTGATTTGAGAGAATGGGAAGTATTTTGAATGAAGCGTACACAAAATGAGTAGTCGACTACTGACCTCGATGTCGTTAAAAAAGAAGTGTGTATCCGCCAGATAAAATATAATTTCTTCCATCCTATAAGCAAGTTGAGCGAGTATCGTCGGATCCTTGTTATACGTCGTGGCAAATTGTCCTGTAAGCAGCGTCTGAAACACGACTATGGTTTCCTCGAGGTCCCAAATGAATATCCGGTCGGGTCCGGCCTCGGTTGTGTCTGCCGAGCCGATACTGTTCCCGCTTCCGCTTTGTCGGCGTCCGCGTCTGCAGGGCTTCGCACTGGTCCCTGCGTCAGAGTACCTCTCCACGTTATTATCCCTATCGATTGATCCACACATATTGGGCAGGTCGTTATACGCGTGTGGCCCGTGTACGTATGGCAGTACGAGGGAGAGTGGGGATGAGAGAGAAACGAAAGAGAAAACGTGTGCCGGGCTACCGCTTGAAATCGGATTCGTAATCGATGTGCCGAAGAGAGCATTGTGCGCGAGTCAAGGAGAGCTCGGCTCTCCTACAGTATTGCCGAGTAAGCGATATTTAATAATGCATGCACCGATGGGTCTGTCCGTCACTGTCAATGCTTACGCAAGTCCATTGACGAGCTGACGAGCTGACGAGCTGAATTGCGCTAATTCGCCTCGTGAAATTTTAGTCGGTGCTAACGAAATTCAGTGTTCAAGCGAAGTTTATCACATTTATATTTCATCCACGAAGTAACCTCTCAATGAAAAGTGGAAGCTTTTCGTTACACGAAGCGCAGTATAGAAAAGTATATAAAGCTCGGCATTGGGCGATTTCATTTTTATGTGTTACTGATTGTGCTGCGCTAACATTTAAAGATTGCAAAACTAACGTGTTAATGCAGTTTAGACTAGCCGTTTTATGATGGTGCATTCCTTCCGAATTATAGTAGGCGAATAATTTTGAAACATTAATGTCATTAATATGTCTCTAGAAGAGATGCAAGTCTTGCAAAAAGGTAATCTACTTTTACGAAACTTTAGTAGTTAGGAGACAGACGAAATAAAAAGAAATTTCTTTACAAAACTAGTATATGGAACTGATATTCAAATTGAATTTGATATTTATCAATCAAAATGTGAAAAGTCGTTGAAAATATTAAAATGTATCTATTTTCCTAGCAAATGTCGCATACATTTTCCAAATAAAAGCAAATTTTCTTTAACTAATAATGTTCATTAAGTTCATCAGTTTTTAACTATTTTTAAATGTACGCCATTGAAACTTTCAATTCATAAAATTATAAAATTACAAGATAACCCTCCAATTATATAAATAATATCCTATCGACGTATGCCATAGAATGTACATAAAAAAAAAAAAAAAAAAAAAACATTATTTTAAGCAATTTATTGACCAAGATTGTATTTATAGTTTAATCGGAGTTCGTGTCTTAAAAAATCGTAAATAATACGCATTCATACAGTAATATTAACATGATGAGTTCAAGTTGCATTACCTTCAACGTTCGCGGTCTCCCGCATAGTTAGATCACTTGTATCGTGAGAAGTCGGGTCTAACGTCAACGCCGACTTCGACGAATCTGTAACGACATACATAGTGATTAATAGAAAAAATCGATTTTAATTCTTAACACTCATTAAACAGCCCGATAAATATTTAAAAATTTAATCAATCCGAATTAATCTGTTGAACAATTGATTTTTTATGAATAAATAATTATGAATGAAATCTTGAATCATTAAAAGAAAATTTCATTGTGATAAATATAATTATACAATAATTATTCTAAGGATAACTACATAAAATAAAGAACTCATTAATAATAATAAATTTAATTCGTAAAAGAAAAAAGCAACTTTTTATAACTTTATAAATATCGAGTGTATTTGGCAATTATTTAAACTTATTGCTAATATTCAATATTAATATTTAACCATTTTTTTGAATTTTGATAGTTTAACAGCAGCTTTTTCTTACCTACAAAATTTAAATTACTAATGTTAAACGAGGTTGGCGTTGTGTGGTAACCGGGTACTGGATAATATCCGGAATACTGTAAAGGTACCCTGTCATTTCCATACAGCGAGGTACTATAGGCCGTATAATCTAGTTTCTAAAAAGAAAATTTCATAAAATTCATGCTTATGATTTTATTTGAGAAAATTTAATTCTCAAATTCAATTCTGATATCACATATATTGTGTAAAGTTGTAAAATATAATATTCTCAAGTCTGAATCATATGTACAGTTATAGGCAAGATAGTGTATTTAATATTCAATTACATTATATCATTCAATACACTTTGAGTGAATTTTATTAAAAAATATCGTATTTCATGAATTAAAAACTTTGTTTTTAATGTTTGAGGAAATATAAACATACTGTTTTCGAATACACTATAATCTCCTCTTCGAATTAATTTAAAAATTATATTACGCCCACATTATACTTCATTTTTCTTATTTTTATTTCAGCACCTTATTTATATATACTCAACTTAATTCGTAAAAATTATTTTTTTCCATCAAGTCGCGACAAATAATAATTAATTATAAAAATACACTCTAATAAGTTATTCCTACATTTAAGTGTGTACACAATTTCAGTATACATAGTTGTACCTGAGATGCTGAGGATATGTTCTGTGCAACAGCGGGAAATGTCGCCGAGCCACTGTTGTAGCCAGCGTACGAAGAATACTGTGTCATCGAACTTGGCGTTGTATAGGAATTTAAATATGAACTCTGTAAAGACGACGAGCCCTTCGAGGCAGTTGTACTTCCGTAGGATGGTGAGCTATACAAGCTAATGATACAAAAAATCATATGCAAGACTGCGTAACGTACTTTACATGGAGTTTAGATAAAATGTAATTATCACTATCGACGCATTCTTATTAAATATAATTTTTCAATAAATTAATTAAAGGTTCGTGATTTATGCAAAGTTATTTGTTCGAGAAAAAAAAATAGTAATTAAATATCGTATATATGTAAATTTAACGATTTGAATTTTTATATACTGATGTGTAAATACTTGAAATTGTAGTTTCATATTTTTGCTAATAGTCATAGTTTTTCTCGCAATTATATAATCTACGCATCTTCTCTCGTATGAAAAAAATTAGTTTACTTAAAATAGTTTAAAAATGTATATAATGAAAGAATCTTGAATTCCCGAATATATTTTGTATACAAGGGGTTATAGACAAAAAAGCACTTGAATTGTTCCTCTGAATTATTAATTTTTATTCTAATGATAAGCATTGAGAAAGATGAAAAAATGCTTATAATCAAATTTTAGTCAAATTTATGAACTTATTAAATATCGTTTGTTCAAAAAGTGTACAATTAAAGTATATTTTCGATAGTGTCATTTAAAAAAAAAAATCTTATTCATCATTATGAATAAGCTGAAAGTAAGCAATATAGTTGACAAATTATATACTGTAAATTATTTAGAAAATTTCATAAAAAGCATATTAAAAACCCTCATGCTAGATAATCTAAAATTCAGCGACTAAAAATAAATCATAAATTCATTTCTAATCACGTGCATTAAAATTGATCGTTGATAAAAGTAAGCATTGTCAATTATTACCTTGCTTATCTGTCGGAATGCAATTTATTCTAATTAAAATCAGTGTAAATCAGACGGAAAGCTAAGGGAGCATAATGTACCTATTGTAATAAGGATTGGCGCCATAAAGCGATCCGTAGTCAGCCTTCTCCATCGAATCCGGATACTCTTGGTCTTTTTCCTCGGCGTTTTCGTCAATGTACAGTTCGCCTCCTGGTACGCTGTCAGTCTCCGGACAGTCTTGTACTTCATTCTTAACCTCTGCTTCTAAAGAAAATCGGTATGTTTAACATTTCATTTAATAGATTTTGGTTCGTAAAGCAATTTTTAAATAATTCATTATGTCAGTCAAAAAGTATTTAATATGAAAAATCGGAATAAATAAATTAAAAATTACATTGATATTTTCGAAGTAAGATCCAATAATTTATATTAAATATTTCTCAATATAAAATTTATTAATACTCGAAATTCCTTGGAAAATGATAATTTTTATAATAAGTTCTCTTATGAAGTAAGCATGCTTTTTTAGATTTCTATTGCGATAAACGCGAAAGCTTTATAAACAATCAGTCTCTTCAAGGCAGACTTAAAACTATTAATCAATTGTTTCATTTAACTAATTGTTTTGTGAGAGTTGTTATGCTTCTTCGAAGTTGGGCTGTTATAATCATTCAACCCATTTCGATTAGATTAGCACACGGTGAGTATACATAATAATCGTGGGTTATCGTTATTTTTACCTTTATGATCAAATACAGCGGTAACGTTTGCTATACTATGAGGTACAAATAACAGTATTTTAATTAAAATCTTTGTATCATTCTTAAGAGTAAATTTAGTAAAAATATACGCAAATAATAGGTAAGAGAAATAATTATTAATTTTTTTCTTTTCATTCAATATCTATACTTTTAATAATATAATTCAAATGAAAATTTTTTTTTCATTTATTATAAAATTATTGCCATTTATTTCCATTAGTTAAAATATATTCACGATTTAGAATATAACGTAATACGTGATAAGTCATCCACTTCATTAATTGTTCAATGTAAAGAATTTGGATATAGAATTACATCAATTTTTGCAATATAGTTCAGATTTTAAAACTAAAATATTAAAAGCTATATAGTAGTAGCTTGTGTTACTTAAAAACTATTAATGCAAAGATATCAAGCTTATATCAAGGATAAAGCAGTACACTAAATTTCAACAACTTATTCTAATACTGGAAAATTAATCAAATTTATACTGTAGAATGATACTCAAAATAATTATGTATTGGCTTATGATTTATCAGCTCCTGGCTTAATATTTGTTTTACTTCAGTTTATTAATCAATTAGTAAATAAAAAAATCTTCAATGCAAACGATTACTACATTGGTTTTTCATCCGTAAAGAAATTCATAGCCGTAAATAAATATTATATTCTTATTTTATTATTTATTATATTTATTAAGCAATAAGATCCTAATAAAAGATGTTATTTAAATTGCGATTGATTATTGAAAAAAGGTTAATTTCACATTTCCTCCAATACGATATTTTCGACAATCTCATTTCTTCCTAACGAGCCAACAACTTCATTTAACCTTTCTTAGTCCTTAAATTGAATATCCGAGAGAAGTTCGAGAGAACTTAGATCGGGTTGGGAGATAAGCAAGAAAAATCAGAGCAACCATATATGAAATATTGATTAATTGTGAGCGTGAGTAAGTAAAGTCAAGCAGCAGCAGCAGCAGCAGCAGCAGCAGCAGCAGGAGGAGGAAGTAGCTACGCCAATGCCGTTATCTACCATTGTTTGCACTGCGAGGGTGCTGTATCGAGGCCTCGGTTGATGAAGACACGTTGCCAGCATTGTCTAAAACCCCTGCCGGTTTGGTCGGGTCATTGTCTTCGGTTAACATATCACTCTCCCTGAAAAGAACAAGATAATCTTTATGCATTTCAATTATGAAATGAGATGGCCAACGATTGATTAATTAATCAATGGTTTGCTTTATTATATCTATAAGATAATTTTGTTCTACAGTCAAATAAATCTATTTTAAATGTATTTCAGTCCAACAATATACGTTATTTTGTTCAAATACTTTCTAATCCTATGTATTGAGTATTCAAAGCATTTGATTACATTACATGAAAAATGCTCATGACTTCGTTATATTTCATTGACTTCACTATTAAATTCAGAATTCTACAAGTTTTGTACAATTATGTTTTCCAGGATATAGAATGACTTGTAATACGAGTTGATAAATAAATGTTCAAAATTGACAAATCTAATTTAAGAAATAATTTGTTATGCATTAATTCTTTTTCGATCACTTTAGAATATCCGTTAACCATATAAATTCATAAATAATACTATAATACGAGGAAAGCTTATTAGAAAAAGACTCGTACTAATATCAAGCTTTTACAAAGTGTAAAAACAATTAATATTTAACAATTACATTCAAATAACTCTATATGAATGATTTAATTCATTGGCAAGGAAAGTTTGTAAAATACATTTAATTCCGGTTTTCATAGTTCTGAATATAGTTCTACTGGACGAATACAACTAAACAATAATTTTATTGAAATTATTTTAAAACTTTTCATTTTTGGTTAAATTTTGAATACTATGAATAGCTATATAAGAATAAAATATCAATGAAATCGGTGTTATTTTTTAAATAGACTATAATTTTTAAATTAAATGAGACATATATGACTATCATATTACATACTAAAACAAAAAAACAAAACAAAAAACAAAAAAACGAGAAAGTATAATGTACATTTGAATAAAAGTCAATACCAATTTAAGAAACAAAATTATTTTCATAGTAAGGTATAATAAGTTATAAAAATGTATTTAAGAATTATAACACATTTCATCCAAATAAAAATTCGGAATAGTTTTTAAATAATCAAATATTTTTTATTTTCTGAATATTATAAAATTAAAAAGTATCTGAATAATTAATTCGAATATACTGCAACTCTGAATAATTATATACAAGTATTGATAGAAATCCATAATTTAATGATTTTTTATTTGATTATACGTGCTTGTTAAATTTAGATAATTAATGTTATTACCAGTACCATTATCATCAATACTAAATAAAAATAAAGCAACTTATGAATAATGTATCTATTTATAATATTTATGCATATTCTGTTTTTCTTATGGTACCTTGCTTCCTCCGAGTCTTTCTAAAAATATTTAATTAATCAATTTTGTTGTTTATATCTAATAACATCATAGCTGCCTATCTTAATACAAGTACTGTTCTATAATTATTCTTACTTATTATATAAAGTATAAAATTCATTTTTCTCAAGATTATGTAAATAACTAGATATATTTTAAATTACTATTATATTATATAATTTCAATATTAATATATATAAATAAAATTATAAAAATTATATTATAAATGTATAATAAAGTGAAGAGTCAGATAAATTTTTGTATATCAAAATACTAATATACAAATGATTGGCGTATTATCAATGAAATTTGTAATACGTGTCAGTCTTAATTATCGATGAAACAAAATTTAAATCCATATAAAGTTTGCCAATCCACAACTCTTATCCCAACAGTATAAATTATTCTATTATAATGTAATGTTTGTGTGTGTGAGTGCGCGTGTGCGTGTGTGTATTAATAAGGTATTTTTAAATACACCCAATGGAAAAACGACTGATTTTCTTATGATTGTAAATGTCCTTACGGTTGCAGAACGTAACTTTAATGGGATAAACAAGTAAATAAAATAATAATAATGATAATAATACTGACGATAAAGCCCACACCAATATAGAAACTTTGCAGGGGGCAAATACTATTTAAAACCTATTTGTCGTCATAGGTTCATCCTGCACGGAAGGAGCAGTACGAGTGTGCTTTCTAGAAAACGGCGGGTCTTCGCCCACCGTCGGGGGTAATCGGGGCCCGGAGAGTGGGCTTCAGCGGTCCCGTAATTATATCGGCCGACAATTGCGGTAGCAGTAGGTGGAGTGTGGCTTGTGGGTAGGCGTGTGTCGAGGCGCCCGGCCCCAGCCAATGGAGGGCCCCTTGATGTCGGCGGACCGTTGCCAGGCCACTATCTTGTCCGCGAGGACGCGCGCCCCGCCCTTCGCCTCGACTCCGAGCGCGCCGACCGAAGGGACCACCGCCGCCGTCACTGCCACCGACATCGCAACCGCCACCACCGCCGGCGCTGTCGACGCCGCTCTATTCTGGAATTCGGATTATAGCGGCTCCTCTAATCCTACTGCGATACAATCCTCTCTCTCTCTCTCTTATTTGCCTGACAACTGTACTTTTCCGAAATGCTCGAACGCTGGAGGTCCGAGCTCTCAACGCTCTTTCTTGCACAATTCTCTTTTTTCTCGCTATTTCACGACACGTGTATTTCTCTTCTTCAAGAATCTCAGTAATTTGACAGTCATATTTATGTACAAATTGAGCCCCAGTTCGAAATTTATATTATATTCCTTCTTTGTTTTCAATATTTTCAGATAAATTATGTTTTATAGTTCTAAATTTGTGGGAGAATGACAATAAAATAACGGAAATGTGAAAATTATAAAACTTTTTAATTCGATTATTTTTATATGCATTAACACGTATATTAATTAAACCACCATAAAACCAAGTAAGAGAAAAAAATATTGTTTTATAATGTAACGACGCTCGATGTAAATAATGCGAATTTCACTTATTAAACAATCATGGATAATATTTAAAAGCGAAAATCACTAATGAAAGCCAATTATGTATTCAAAGATGCACCTTTTTTAAAAAAAATTTTTTTTAATATTTTATACATTGTATAAAATATTAAAATTATAAATCTTTTAGTAAAAAATATATTTTTTATTCTAATATACTTAGTAATTCATAATTAAAAATTATTTTATAATACTATAGAATTGAAAATGAAAGATTAGGTAAGAAATTTTAGGCAAGCTTAAAAAGATAATAATAATTGTAATGGTAATAGTACCAGGAATAGGAATAAGAATAGGAATAGTGATAGTAATAGTAATAGTAGTAGTGGTGCTGGTGGTGGCGATGATGGTAGTGGTGTAGTAGTATTAGTATTAGTAGTGTGATAGTAGTAGTAATAATAATAATAATAATAATAATAATAATCATAATAAAAAAAAAAACACAATCGTCAGCATTTACAAGGAGTAAAATACGGAGGAGGGACCATGAGATAATAACTAGCAAACGTTATCTAAACAATGTATACTTCCACTTTATCGTCGCGGGAACTCGCATTGGTCTACGCTCTCTCGACTGTTCGCTCGCAGAGTAAGCGAAACGTCGGAGTAAAACCAAGAAACGTGCGGCGCCGATTACGCTTTTCATTCCCGGACATTACGCGAGATTTATAACTAGAACTCCACACTACAAAGGGCAAATTTTTACTAACAACACGATAATGTTCTATTTAACCTGCGTTGTCAACTTCTATTTCTAACTAAAATCTTAAATGGAAATAGTTTTAATGTTAAAACATTTGAATTTATCATTGAAGCGATTGAATTATTTGCTGTGTAATTTCATGGATGGGTTTATTAAAAATTATTATGTCTTTGCTCAAACTAATATTTATGCAAAGTTTAAAAATCTTTACTTTATAGTCTAATACAATTTTATCATTATATCGTTAATGTCAGCGAAATAAAATTAATTTTTATTTAATTATATTAATGATAGTAGTTAACCCTTTAATGTTACAAAATTAACGAAAGTTATAACGCAAAAATAAATAAAACTGAGGATTATTAGATGTATACGAAAATAATTACTACAACAAATCAATTAGATTATTTAGAAGTTAATAAAATAGCTTTCGTGTTACATATTTTAGAAATAAATATAGCAACCACTATTGATATTTTTAATTTATAAAAAGAAACAATTTTTTAAAAATCCATTCGATATCGAAAATTAAATATTTTTATTAAATAAATTTGTATGTCGATTTATTAAAGAGGGATTCAGAAAATGTTTATTAATTTTTCTAGTTTTCAATTAATATCTGAGTATATTAGCATATGAATATGTAGTTTTTATACGAGAAATCTTCAATAAAAAAAAAAATTAGTTTTTCTGATTTAATATCAATAAACAGTAAGTATAAATTTTATAATTGATGGAATATTTATTATTATGTAAAGAATTAATTTTTTTCAATATAGACAAATAAATTGATTGTAGAATCAAAGAAAATAAAAATTTCTAACTCGTAAACATAATAAAAGTATTTGAATTTTTTATTGCCATGTAATTACTTTCCGGATGTACTTCAATCCAGTAAGGATTATATATATTTTCATTAATTGATATTTGAACTTATATCTATGAAAATAATTAAATTAAATTTATTTGATTTAAAATTTAATAATTTATTTTATATCATTTCATTTTTTAAATTGTCTTATTTTTACGGAACTATATAGTAATCAGCTTTCTTGTATAAATATTAATATTTTTATTAAATACGTAACATTTATTTATGAGTGTTTAATAAAATGAATATAAATTTCAGAGCATCAGATTATGGGTTTCTGTACTTATGAAATTAATTGGTAGTATTCAAAATACAGTATTTGTATTTATGGATTTAATAATATAATTAATTAACATTTATTGTTGTATTGTATGTAATTTTTACAATTATTTATGTAACAAATCTCTTTGTTAATAGTATATATTTCTACGTAACTGATAACAATATAAAATTAACGTATTCAAAAGTATGTATACTTTTAACAAAGTAAACATGGATACATTAATTCAATCATTGATATTAATTTTTATTTCAAATGTAATATTATTGCGCAAAAACTGTAAAATTTTATGTATTCAAATATTTCTACACATATATTTAATTGAATTTTACCATTTAAACCCTTTTTCATTCAAAATATAAATAACCTTCTAAGAATAAAATATTTTAGTTGTAAAATATGACAGTAGTTTATACATAATCTACAATATTTAATTCACATACTTCTTTGATTATATTCAAATAATTTTTTAGAATAATAAATTCAAATAGTTTTCATAACAAAGGTTTAGTACTATACTACTATTTAAGAGGATTAATAGAAGAAGCGAAATTTATAATGTTAATTTAAAGTAATATTTAATTTATACAAATAAAACATCTTCTATCTATCACATAAAACAAACTATATATAAATTAGCATTGAATGATAATTATAACAAATTTATTTATTGAAATATTTTAAAATATTCTACATAATCTAACATATGCTGCCCTTCGCCAATTAAAATATACTAACCGCTAACAAGTCGAATTAAATTCACAAGACCGAGCCCATTAAATGCACGTGCGCATTCAAGGTGCAAACATTTCTTTTTCCACATCGAACATTATTTTAATTTAGAAATACTATTTTATTTCTACCATACGAAAAATAAATGTAATTTCTATTTTAAATTAATAATTATATTACTTAGTGCACAAACACGTTCATGTATAAACAATAGTCATGCACAAAACAAAAATCGAAATTATAATAAAAATCTCTTTCAATACCATATTTTACCAATGTATTTTATTTAATTAATTTATAAGCATATTAAAAGTAAAATTGAAAAATATATAAATGTATATTTAATGCCAACATTTAAATATATTTTAAATTATTTTACAAGTTGTTAAAATTATATAATAAAGACAAATAAAACATTACATTCTAAAATAACGTTATATATTATAAATAAATTTTTTTGTAATTATTAAGAAAAGCATTAAATATAAACTAATGCATTGGAATAGAAATATCAATGTTAATTTTTAGCAAAAAGTTTTTATAATATAAACGTTATTACTATTCTATTATATTAAACTTTTAAATTATTTTAATTTATAAATTCGAATCATGTTATTCTGGTTTTAAAATACATTAAAAAAATTTTTTTTTACTAATTCATAATAATTTAATTCAAATAATTAATAAAGTTATTCACCATATAAACTACTCATAGATCATGTCATTTTAATACCGAATGTTTAAATACTACTGCCCATATATTTATTTTATTACTTTAACTGTTTTAAAATATTTGAGATTCACATAAAAATTCTTGCTTTTAAATAACGTTTTACTATATAAAAGAAATTTCTTTTTTGAATTTAGATTTTTAAAAATAAAATTATTCCTAAAAATTCGAAATAGGGCCAAACAATAGAAACGTATGTAATATTCCAGTAGTATAGTACATTATTACTGAAATTTGGATGTATATCGAGTATATATTGCTCTACGTTAATAAACAAATATTGTAGTTATACTAAAAATTTATTTTGAATTCTCTGTTAAAAGTCATATGTATATTGTGAAAATTAATTATTATTTGTGACATTTAAATACAGAACATTTTTAAATCGTATACAATCGTTAAAATGTGGTAGGGTGATAATATAGATGATTTACATCATTTATATCATTTTCTGAATGAATGTAATTGAGATAAAAGATGTTAATAGTGAAATGTAACTGAAGATAAACGATTTATGGGCATGCCATAAATATACGGTAATCGTTGAAATTAACAGATATTTCATTAGCTATTTTCTTATTATTTAATTTCTATAAATACTCATATTCTTTTAAAGATTATTATATATATACATATGCGTTTGTTTTAACGTTAAAAAAGAAGATTTATAAATGACACTGTATAAATGAATTTGAACTAGATGACAATGAAAGGTCACTAACTAACTATAGTGCGCGTTGCGTACTTATTAAAAGTATGATTGACTTTAATACCTCTTTTAAGTCAACGCTTATCCAACTACAAATATAAAAGGAAAATTAACCTTAAAATGTAGAATAGGAAATATGGATAACGAAGGGCGGTAGGGGATATTGGTACAAGACTTGGCCAATTTGAAAAACAAAAGCATTAATTCTTTATGCGATGAAATTCATAAATTTTACTTATGGGATGGTCTTATTGATTGTTCGGCCATCAAGTCGTAAGATGTATGGCGGCTTACTTTACTCGTGATGCGCCTGCGTTTTTCCACGTTTTCGACCTTGACAAAACTTTCTCCACACGGTTCGTGTGGCTTACGCATGTCAAGCAGATGTACCAGAACCCTAGTCGCGTGTTCGGTGGCTGACTCCATCCCTGGAGCCGCTGACCGTTTCCGCAAAAAAAAGCAAAGTAACGTTTTCTTGCCTGATGGTATTGTTTACAAAGGCTTTCGAAAAACGGTAGTTGACGTTGCCCGACAGATTGCCATTCCCTGATCCAAAATTCTTTCTTTATTTATCTAACTTTATCATAGATATTCCTAATCGAGTCGAGGCTATCCCTTTAGACATATACAATTTCAATGCATTTTCAGCGTTTCCCTTGTTTGGACTTGTACTTACATTCTGAGATTCACTACAATACTAATATTATCATTATTACATACTACTTTATGATTATTTTTAAAGATTTTTAATTTTTAATTTCTTATATCTTTAATCTTTACATGTATACGATGTTTAAAAATTATGCCAAGTCTTTAATCTTTGGAATAAGTTCTATTGCAAAATTTGAATAAATTGACTATTTAGGCTTACTGGTTTAATAAAATTTTCTAAAAAAAAAGTAATTTAAAAACTTACATAACAGAATTAAATAATTTGAAAATAACACTTAACCAATGGAAATGAAGATAACGAGTTTTATTTTAAGCATCGCATATAAATTTTAAATTTTTCAAAGTACAATGTACGTACGATTATGAAATATTTTCATTATACAAAGTAGTCTAGGAATATTACAATGTAAATAAAAAAAAATTTCTTATAACTGTTCTTTAAATTATTGAAAATTATAAGAATTGCTGAATAATATTTATGATTATAATTTGTTTTGTTGATGTTAATTAAATAAGTATTGTTAAATCGTAATGAATTGGACATTATTTAGTATAAGTCAATAAATAAGATAATGAATTACTTGATTTTAAATGAGCTGGATGAGCGAAATGCAAGAAAGGACAAGAAACAAGAATATTTGACAATCGAATGACAAAAAAAGTATAGAATTCAATTAATAATGGGGAATTAGCAAGAAAAGTCGTGGATTAAAAATCGTGGATTATTACGAGAAGCACGTGTACGTGGAAAAGTAGAAGTAAGGAGAGAAGGAAAGCGAGTAATCGGCCGAAGGCCGCCAAAAGGAAGCTAGAATCGAGTTCCCCGTTGCTCTCATTTCAGCCCCTAATAGCAGACTACTAACCTTTCAGCTCGCGATCTCAATCGTTGCTCAGAAAGAGAGAATGAGATAGATAGATAGATAGATAGATAGATAGATAGATAGATAGATAGATAGATAGATAGATAGATAGATAGATAGATAGATAGATAGATAGATAGATAGATAGATAGATAGATAGATAGATAGATAGATAGATAGATAGATAGATAGATAGATAGATAGATAGATAGATAGATAGATAGATAGATAGATAGATAGATAGATAGATAGATAGATAGATAGATAGATAGATAGATAGATAGATAGATAGATAGATAGATAGATAGATAGATAGATAGATAGATAGATAGATAGATAGATAGATAGATAGATAGATAGATAGATAGATAGATAGATAGATAGATAGATAGATAGATAGATAGATAGATAGATAGATAGATAGATAGATAGATAGATAGATAGATAGATAGATAGATAGATAGATAGATAGATAGATAGATAGATAGATAGATAGATAGATAGATAGATAGATAGATAGATAGATAGATAGATAGATAGATAGATAGATAGATAGATAGATAGATAGATAGATAGATAGATAGATAGATAGATAGATAGATAGATAGATAGATAGATAGATAGATAGATAGATAGATAGATAGATAGATAGATAGATAGATAGATAGATAGATAGATAGATAGATAGATAGATAGATAGATAGATAGATAGATAGATAGATAGATAGATAGATAGATAGATATATAGATAGATAGATAAATAGAGAGAGAGAGAGAGATGGAGAGAAAAATTGCATATGCAGTTGGATTGGGAATCTTTCCGCGATATTTCTCCGCCGCCGAATCTCTCTACCTGTACGAGCGTGTGGGAATCCAAACTCGAAAAAGGAAAAGAGTGTCGACGCAGCGTCCGAGCAGCGACACATTAACAAGAACAGCCACTACATATCAGCAACAACAACAACAACAACAACAATTACTACTACTACACAACAACAGTAATAATAATGATGATGATAACAATAACAACAGTAATAATTATGATAATGATAATGATAATAATAATAAACAAAAATAGCTAAATTAACAGAAATAAGCAAAGTTGACGTACTAGATAGAGAACGGGGGCGCACGAAGGAGCGATGAGTGTTCCAGTTCCCAGTAGCCGCTCATCCTCCCGTGTCCAATCCCTCGAATTCTCTCTCAGTTTCTTTCACTTACTCTCAGCCCCTCTTTCTCTCTCTCTCTCTCTCTCTCTCTCTCTCTCTATCTATCTATCTATCTATCTATCTATTTCGTTCTTCCTCTTTTCCTCGGTCAATTTTCTTAGTTTAGGGGGACGCGCGCGCGCGCGCTCACGCACTCGCTCACTTGCCCCGTACCATCCGCACTCTTCGGTTCATTTCGGGGTGTCAGTCCCGGCTAATCACCGCTTCCACAGCTTCTTCACACGCGCGCACTCTATATACACGCGCGCACACGTACACACACGCACCTAGCGATGATATTATTGCGTCGTCTTCGAGGCGCTCACATGGCGTACTTAAAGGGCCGGGGCGCGAAGGAAAGGCGCCGCTGCCGCTGTCGCTACTGGTACTGTGCAGTTGCTGTTGCTGTTGTCGTTGCCGTTGCCGTTGTCGTTGTCGTTACCGCTGCCGCCGCTCACCCCGAAAAGATACTCACAAAGGGATAGGAGCACTACTCCCTGTATCGCTGGTCCGTAGGGGGACCCCGAGGGCCTCTCGCGGATCGATCAGAGCGCCGGAGTCGAAAGCAGTGCTACGATAAGCGCTCTCACAAAGGCCCGTAAAAAGGGCCGTCGGCGCACGAAGAAAGGATGCCCGAGGGGCGTAAGGGGGGCCTACCGCTGCTCTCCCTCTCGAGTACAAAATTCACACCGTGCGCGCACAGAGAGGCGGGACGTGATGTGTGGATTAATGTCTATGCGTATGTGCGCATGAGCGCGTTTACGCGCGCGTGTTGCGTGCGTGCGTGCGTGCGTGCGTGCGTGCGTGCATGCGTGCATGCGTGCATGCGTGCGTACGTGAGGAAGGGAGACCCGGCAAACACTCGCTCCGACCGACGACTGCTGTGTGATGCTGCTCCTGCTGTTGCAGCCTGTGGAGTTCTGAGCATGCGAAATGTTGCGCTCTCCCCCCTCTCACACCCACCCACCCTCATGCTCTCTCTCTCTCTCACACTCTCTCTCTCTCTCTTTCATATTCTCATTCTTGGATGTATGCAACAGAGTGAGAGAGAACTATACTACCACCCCCGCTCTGTGATCACGTGGCCCTATACGGGATTCACTCCCTCTTTTTCGCTCTCGCGTGGTGCGTCCCCGGCGAAAAAAGTAGCGAACGTTGCCTCGTCTCGCTCTGCTTCCCTTTCTTAGTGTGCAAACTGCGGGCGGGAGGGGGGGTCGACAGTCGGCCGGTGTAGAAGCCGCTTAATTAGAGAGAGAAAGAAAAAGAGAGAAAGATGATGGGATAGCATGATGGACGAGGCCTAAAAAGGGAGAACGGGACGCCTATAGTATGAACAAGGGAGACAGCTGAATACAATGATACATAGAATGATTAGGACGAAAAGTGCGACGTGGGCCTCGTCAACTTTGCGGTTGATTGTATAAATTGCGCCCCTCACATGCTATTTAGTTTCAATGATATTCTATTAAATTTATTTATGACCGATAGTTCAGCTGTGCATCCTAATATTCCAGGATTATTTCTTTTAGTCTTACTTATTTTTAAACGACACCATTATGTAATTACACGAGCTTATGCAACTCAAGCGTATTTCACGTGGCTCCAGACAATACTTAATCATTTGTAATCTTCAAAAGGCTTAATAATATTAAATAAAATTTCAACCAAAATTTTTTTAATTTTCTGATATATTTACGTGCTTAAGTGTTGTAAGTAAAACATTCGATAAACTAATTAAAATTAATTTGCTCATAAAATTGTTGAGGTCGTATTTAAATTTAGAGTCGTTAACGTTAAAATCTAAATTATTTAGTACAGTGCAAATTTCAAAATATAAATATAAAATTTGAAAGCTAGAACAATTTATATAATTAACTCGATTACAGTCAAATGCAATCAATTCTATTACCTAAATTACTGGCATTCAGAACGCATCAATGCAAATTCTTTATAAGACTATCATTTGTAAAAGCAATAAAATTATATGAATAAAAAATAAAATTCTATTTATAATAACCATACATAAGAATAATTCGTAGATTAAATTCTTATAAATCGAGTCTGCTTATGTGCAAATTTCAAAATGTGACTTTCAAATAAAATTCATTACAACGTTCACTGAATTGTTCATTAAAAGCGATTTCCGTTTATTATCGCATGATTTTCTGCTTCCAATTATTTCTTAACTTTACATCATTGTACTTTTATTTCTCTTATTTAAATCTTTTTTTTTTTAATTACATTAGAAGCCATGGATGAAATAAATGCAATGTCGAATAAAAGTAATCAAACAGAAAATTTAATATTTTTATCCAGATTAATTACAATACTAAAGATATTAAATCCTAGTAAAATCATCGATTATATCATTCAAAATTGCTTGGAAAGAGGTGTTTCATTTGCATTTTATATAAGAAATAAAGAGAGAGATAGAGAGAGAGAGAGAGAGAGAGAGAGAGTGAGAGAAATGAGAGGGCAGTCGTCCAGACAGTATAGCAGCTTGAGCTCTCCATACGCAGAGTTAGACTGAAGTAGAGGATAGCAAGTGTCTCATTCGAATAATTGTCACGCTAACGTCGCGTCACCGTTAATTCAACTGAATCAGTTGGACACGAGACTACATTCCGGACTCCTAGGCAGACGGTTTTATGCGACTAATGATGATGCGCTCACAATATATTTGATAATAAGAAATAAAGGTTATAAGAATTTACGAATTATACACTTACGGGTATTATAATTTTTATTGTGCGAAATGCATCACTTACATTTATCATAAATCCTTACACGAGCGTTGAATGTCTCTTTATTTTTTACGATTGTACAACTCTCGACTTATAAGACATTTATGTCGCGGGGAACATTGAAATTTCATCTTAATGGCTACTCGTTTGTCTTCACTGCACGTAGATAATATCTACAGTGATTTCTTATTCGAGTATCAATTTATCAAGAACACCGAAAGACTTTTTTTCGACTATACATAGGTTATAGTAATCACATACAAATGTATATAATTTTATATACAAACATATATATATATATATATATATATATATAAATTAGTTTAACAGCTAATACTTTCTGTGAATTATTTTTTATAATAATAAATAATATTATTAGAAAGTACAGAATATTATACTTAATGCAGATCTTGATTAATTTTTCTACGATAGGTAAAGTGATTTGTATGATTTTTTAATTATTAATTTAACAAGTTCTCATTGCTATAAAGGTTTATTTTATTTATAATTAATGAATAAACTGATTAGCTTATATCAAATATGTTTGTTTCTTATAAAGCAATTTGTATAAATTTATAAAATACATAATTCATGTTATATAAAATACGAATTTAATAGACATTTAATATTTTCGGAAACCAGTTTTAAATCATTGGTATATTTCTGAAAAATCTTATCCAATCAACTTTGTCATGTGAATTAAGAAGATTAATTTATATATTTATTTACTATACAAGAATGATTATAGTTTTACTAAAAAATCAAGATTATTATATCTGCTTAAAATAGTTTGTAATTTGAAATAGTTAAATATTAAGATAAATAATTTATTTGATACCTGTCTTATAAAATACTTATGTATCCATATAATTTTGCATGAAAATAATTTAATTCTTTATTTGTTACATATGTTTTATTTAATTTCAAAAAATAAATACCTACAACAATTCTAAGAAAAATAGTAAAACAAGAATTATGTCGTGCGACAGTGTTTACAAAGTTATATAATTTTGAATTAACATAATATAGTTTTGAAACATATATACTATATATACAACTATAATTTACTTTTATTATTACATTAATTTATTATCACAGGTATAAGCGGTACGATACGATAATGCTAATAAAGAGTCACAATATAAATAGATCTTTATTGAGTGTAATTGTTAATGTAATATATTTTTTCGAGAATTACAATATTATTTTGACAAAGTGTAAGCGCGCACGTACAAAATATAAAAATATTTGTTTTTATTTTGCGATATATTCATTGCAGAATAGAAATAGCACGTTTAATACGAATTAAATAAAAGAGTAATACAAAATAAATTTGTAGACTATAATAATAGACTATAATTCGCCGATAAGGTTTTCATTTCAATTAATGATATTAATGTCGGATTGAAGATGAAACGGATTTATAATAACTACCCAATAGCTTGTTAAGCTCTTCGAATTTTTTTTTTTTTTTTATTAACATTCTGAAATATTATTTTGGAAATATTCCTATCATTCTTAAACAGAAAATCCCTTTATTTAGGGTGAAGCTGCATCCTACTCGACTGAACGCGCATAAAACAATGTCCGTCCTGTTAAAAAAAAAAAAGAGAGTCTCGAGAGATAATCAGAAATGTAATCAAGCGTATTCACAACGGTAAATAATGTATTCTTATTTGAAATCGTGTTCCTTCATGGAGCCTCGGAGGGAAAAGGCCTAGGCCCGAAGATGTCGGCCCGGATGAGTCGTAACCCTCGTTACCAAATCAGAAGCAAAGTTGACTTGTTCATCTCGACGGAGGCTGCGCGTTTTTCTCTCTACCACCTGTCGCGACTCGGCGCGGAAACCGAGACGCACACACGCTCAACGCGTATCCACGACACACCCGGTACCTTTTGGTGACGATAGTACGACGAAACTGGTTTCCTCGGCTTGGCCTGGCTGCGCGCCTACGGCACAGAACGAGCGCTCTGAAATAATAATAACTGTCGTGTCGCTTTACAACTTGTTCTTCCCTCCCGCTCCGCCCCCGGTCCCGCCACCATCCTTACTTTGTCCGACTCGAGCACCGCGCGCGACTATTTTTTCACTTCTATTTTTTCGCGCTCCTCGTCTTTTTCACACGCTCGCCACTATAGAGCGACGGATCCTTGCTGAGATCCGGGTTGAATGAGTTTTGCGTCTCTTCTAATGGAATTTTCGGGCGCAGTACTGTTGATACGTAAAGAAAATTTGATTTGGATGGAGGAAGAGAGAAGAGTTCACTGCCTCGTCATATTCAAATGGTCCGAAAGGAATTCACAATCCGGCTTTATGTTGTTACCCAATTGAGTCCAAAATTATGAACTATTACATCCGTGTCGTTGAAGCAATCAAGCGCGCGCAGTTACTTAACTGTTTATAATTGAATGAGAACGTACTTTGTACTTCAGGACAATTATGTAAAAATTAAAACTCTTTTTAGTCATTCTTAACTAATCGGGAGAAATCTGATCTGATTATGGTACTTACTACTTGCTTACTACCACTAGCCATGATTAGGGTCTAGACGATTTAACTGACCTCGATTTAAGTATATTTTTACTGGCTTAGTTACTTGAGTAGCTTGACAGGTAAGAGCGAAAAACGTTAAAGTTAAATTCAAGATACTTGCTCACATTTCTAAGAGAGC